TATCTCTATCTCTCTCACTGAGACTGAGAGACTCTCAGTATAAACGATCGCAGCTCGGCTATGGAAAGATCAAGAATTTTCTTTCGACTTATGAAATGCACAAAATCTTTGTTGTTTGTGAATATGTTTCTGTGTTTTTTTTTTCTGTTTACTTCATGTTTTGCAATACAATAATTTGTTTCGGGAAAGAAAAAAAATTATGGAAAGAACAACAAAATTGCTTTCTGATTTGGCTTCGGCAGCTAGTTTTTTTTCCCTTCTTCTCTTTACAAGTTTAACTAAATCGAATCGACTTTATGTGGAATACAGCAACCAAATCAAAATTAATGATTTCCTTTTAGCGTAATTGCTATTGCAGGCCACTAGTGCAATCATAATAATCCAATACTCTTTTGATGTTGTTGTTGATGCTTAAATACCCATAATAAAACTAATCAATTACACACATTCTCATCAATTCAAGTGTTAATGCTGCATAAGTCTTGCATCGACGGCGGTGGCATATGGTTTTCTGCGGTTTTAATTGAGTTCGGTTTTGTTTTCGTTCGCTTTTTAAAAATGCGAAACGAGAATGAACAGGCGCAACAACCGACGAGTTGAAAGGTATTTCCAACGGCAAGTGCTTCCTCTATATTCTCTCTCTCTCCATCTCTCTCTGTTAATTAACTCTTTCACAACATGCAGCACACGAATTTATGCGTTTATCTGACGGCGGAGCTGAGTGCTCGGAAAATGCTATTTTTTTTCACTCATTGGAATGTTAGAGCAGACATTTCTTCATATGTTTATGCTCTTTTCAGGTAAATTTCGGCAATTAAAACAAAACTACTACGGTTGGAACATTTTCATTTGCGAATGACGAGATTTCGAAAATATTTGGCTTTAATCCAATTTACAACTCGGTCTTGGTTTTTTTTGTCGGTTCAACAACAAGTAAGCTCAAGTGTAGTGTTCTTTTTTTGGGAAAATCATTTCATATTACGAGAAACAGTTTACTAAAAGTTTAAATTTTAGCTAAGCTTAACTTGACTTAAGTTCAGTTGTTATCAGTTAAATTTATGAATGTCGCTTTTATTTGGGCTTAATACGCCATCTAGCTGTGTGGAACACAAACTTTCACATTGTTCGCCTGAAGTTTCTCTTCTTTAAATAACACATTATGGATAAGAGACCCAATTTGGTGTTAATTCAGTTGTTTTCGTAACAATATAAATGTGCGTGTATATTTTAATAGTTGATGAAGTGACAAATCTTCCTATTTTATGGTTTTCTGATGATACGCGTTTCTTTTTACAAGCATTCTTAATCTGCATTAAATCGTTTCAGGCTCTTCATTTGGTCTCATTGATGAAGATGATTCTGCAACGTCACCAGATAACAATCCATTTATTTGGTTGGTATTTCCCCGAAAAACGACTTAGTGATAATTTTGATAATTTATTATCATTAATAATCATTGATTGTCTCACGTTAATGTGGGACCCCGTGTGAAAATATTTTGACTACAATGTAACTATTCGGCGTCTATAACTGAAGTTAACTACAGTCGTTTATTTGGTTCGACATAATTTTTTAGTTCAGTAGTCAGCCAAAATGTCCAAAATCGGAAGCATATTCCTTATTACGGAGAAATCAAACATATTTACACAAGGGAATACGTTCATTGATAAAAATTGTTCATTAGCAATTAGCAGTTTAATTTATTTAAGAGCATAACACACTTTATGTGTGGACAAATACAATTTGATACAACTACACTTTACCGCTTTTTATATTTATTACGCATCGGGGATGTTAATACGTAAAAAAAAATCCCGTAAAGATTAAATCAAATTTGTATTACAAGATATTTAAGCAGTTGCAATCACACAGCTGTGTTCAGTAAACATTGAACAGACAGGCAGACAACACAAAGTTGAGAATTGTGCTGCTGAAGTAGATTAGCAAATTATTCACATTTAGTCATATTTATACACGTCAATATAGGTCAAACAGCTAAACTAATACAAATCTGTTCATACGCCAAGTGACCAGCAACTGCAACCAGTAGCTGTTTCAAATCCATCTTTCCCGCCTTGCTGTTACAGTAGAACCTCGATTATCCGTCAGGCACCGGACCAGCGCATTGACGGATAATCGAAAAAGACGGATAATCGAGACTTTCATATAAATAAAACAAAATAATCAAAATTTCCATACTTTCTAATTAGTTTATGATGAAAAACAAGGTGATGTAAAAAATATATAATAGATATGAGAACAGATTTGGTGCATTGTCCAAAATATTGGACAATCTTGTATATACGAGAAGTGTACCGAAAACGCAAAGCCTCTGATTTCAAATCTTATTGTGCGAATGTACAAGGGGCACACAATTGATTTTGATTATGAAAGTTAGTTGGCAACTTTATTCGTATGTTCAAGTGAAATAAACTGAAAAATGAACTGAAAAAAAACTTTTCCACCTTGAAAAGGTGCGACGGTTAACGGAGGTGACGGGTAATGGGAGGACGGATAATCGAGGTTCTACTGTATTCTATTTTTGATACGTTATCGTTATTTTAATCACTCGAAAAAGGCTTACACTAACGCGCACACTGATAGTGAAGCATATGAGAATAGCTCAACTATCTCGTCAAAACCACATGGAAAGTGTGTTGAACACAGTTTATTTCATAGTTCACAGAAAATAAGTATACAGTTAAGGCCGAAAAATGAAATACTCTGCGATTTGTGTCGTAATTACCTTTATTTTTATGATGTTTGTAACCAGTGAGGCATCTATTGAAGCAACAAAGTACAAAGTAGTGTGTTATTTCACAAATTGGTCTTGGTTTCGAAAAGAAACTGGAAAGTTCCTACCCGAAAATATTGATACAAACTTGTGTACACACATTGTGTACGCATTTACTGTCTTGGATCCAAATTCATTGACAATTCAAATACGTGATCCGCGCACTGACATTGATAACCAGTTCTATAAGTGAGTTACTGATTTCCGTCAAAAAGGGATAAAAGTGATTGTTTCGATTGGTGGATGGAATGATTCGGATGGTGAAAAATACGGACGCCTTCTTGCCAATGCAAGCGCGAGGCAACATTCATTGCAAATGTTACGGATTTCATTGAGAAACATAACTTTCAAGGATTGGATCTGGATTTGGAAGTAAATTTTTCAACACAAGACTTAATCAAGTTCTAAATTTTAATTTCAATTTTTATTTTTTTCAATTTTTGCGGGATAGTATCCGGTTTGCTGGCATGGAACATGTAAGCCTGAAAATGCAGCACAAAAAAGTGACTTTGCCCAATTCGTTCAAGAGCTAGCGCAAGCATTCAAACCCCGGGGATGGCTACTATCGGCCGCTGTATCTGTGAACAAGAAAGTTATCGATACCGCATATGACGTTCCAAAATTGGCTAGACATTTGGATTGGATTGGTATAATGGCATACAATTTTCATGGACAATGGGATAATAAAACCGGTCAAAACGCTCCACTCTTCAATTATCCCGGAAACTCCATTTATTTAAATTCGGATTATATAGTCAAATACTATATCCAACAAGGTGCTCCTTCAACAAAACTCGTTCTCGGTGCACCTCTGTATGGGAAAACGTATACTTTAGCAAATGCTGCAAATCACAGTTTAAATGCACCAACAACTGGCCCGGGTCAAGCAGGCCAATTCACGAAATCTGCCGGAATACTAGCGTATTATGAGATTTGTGACCGGATCGAAAATCAAACATGGACTGTTGTGAAAAATGCCAGCATCGGGTCGTATGCTTTTCTTGATAAACAATGGATGACTTTTGATGATGTTGAAACAATGCATGCCAAATCGAAATATATTCGCGATACAAAACTTGCGGGTGCCATGATCTGGTCTTTGGACCACGATGATTTCAGAGGAAGTTGCGGTGATGGAGCTTATCCACTCTTGACAGCATTGAATCAAGAACTCCGCAACTAATTTTATATTTGCAAAAACACACGAATTTTTAATAATTCTTTTAATTCTTATTTCTAATATTTCAATGTCTTCTTTATGCATATTGGATAGAAAACATCGATAGATTATGACGCGCAGATAGAAAACTAAAACATACATCATACCTAGCATCATTCATATCACGAATTTTCGCTCATATTTTCTGGAGTAGTGCGTTTTAACGTCATAAGTCTAAGTTTAATTCAGAACAGTTTTTTTTTAGCTGTGAAGGCAGTTACAGCGCCATGTGATGAGAAAAGTCATCCTTTGAAAATCGCTTCATTTGTTCCGTGCAAGGTGACATTTTTGATGAAAACTCAATTTGCCCACTTGAGATATCGCTGGAAATTGTCTGAGAGTCGTGTTTCATCTGGCTGTGAAGGGAGTTATATCATCTTCCTTTCATCACTAAGATATACTCCACTTAAATTTCTAATATTCAACCCTCTAATGCATACAACCGCCTCTAGACGGGCAACATTTGAACGCTTGCATAACGTAAACCGTACGTCGAATCACATTGCTTCAAACGACATTTTTGTTCTTCAAGATGTCCTATATAATTTAATCTTTTGCACTATTAGTATACATCAAGTGGTTGTCGTGTTATAAACAAAAATGTGTGCAAAAATAAAAATGTCAAATTTTAAATTTGACAAAATAAATGATTTGAATCACACGTTAGACAATTTTCTGACACTTTTAAACAATGGATTTGATTGTTCGCCGATTTATGTCAGTCGCATTTCCTGACTAAACCACGAGGAATCTAGGATTATGAATTTTTTTTTTTAATTATTTACGACCAAAAATCAACTAAACACCAGTACTCCCAGCCCTGGAAAAAATAATGCATTAGAGGGTTAATACATTTGCATGTATGAATGTTGATTTTCAGTTTTTAAATAGAATAGAGAATAGATAATACGAGAAAAAATATTTATTTCTTTTTTTCTTTTTTACGTATACAAAATATTGTTCTAGTGGTCGGTATTTCCAAATTTTTCATGAATTGGAAGCGGCTGAGCTCCGGCCATAATCTTCTTTCACTAATTCCGAACACTTTTCGCCTACCATCATTGACACAGCATTTGTATTGGCGCGCATACTATCCGGAACACTAGAAGAAAAATTGGATAATGAATGGAACAAAAGTAATTTTTGGCAAAGAAAGCGTTCAATGCTTACATTCCAGCGTCTATCTGTCGCAGTCCCTTGGTCTTATGAACTCTACATCTTGAATCAACAACAGCATTTGTGCCATTTCCCATGCGGCTTGTGCCAACCATATGCGATCCTGGGAAGCTGAAGTATGTAATATAGCAGTCCCAATATGCTGCCGATTTGAATTCCAAATGATCACATTTTTCTAGTGGAATTCGCTGAAGGGTTGCACCAAGTTTCTGGAATGGCTGTGTCTCTAACAGTGCCACCTGATGTTGTATCGCTTTTATTGCTCTTGCTCTGTCGTCTGGATCGCTCAAATACTGCGAATCGATTAATACTTCTTGACACGAAGTACAATTATTAAGTCGGATGGTACCAGTTGATTTCGGTTTAATTAGCGTAATAATCATGCTCAACACATCAAACTGTGCATTAAACTTTGCCTCTTCATCTGTCCACTTTTCTATATTCATTACTGTATTGAGAGTTTTAATGGACGATGCTGTGGATCCTTTTGGCAGAAGCGCTAAGATCAACTGGTGATCAGGTGGACCATCTGTGTTGTTCTCCGTATTTAAGCAACCGGATAAAATTGGGTATGTTGTTAATGCTCCTGAATTATTTTGTACGTATTCATACAAGCTGTCAAGTTCAAATGTTGGTGATATCGATGTCGTACTGATATTCAAACTGATTTTCAATACGATACACGGATGATCTTTAAAATTATCACCAACAGGCAAGTCAACCCTCGGTTGAATGTTTCGTTCTTTGAGATGTTTCTTTGGTCCAATGCCGGATCGCATTAAAATGGCTGGACTCAGAACCGTTCCACCCGAAATGATGACTTCTTTCTTCGTTGTTGCCGTTATTTTACGGCTACTTTTGTACGTAAATTTAACTCCTGTTGCGCGATTATTCTCATCAAGCACAATGCTATCCACGTGAGCATGTTTAACAACATGCAAATTAGGGCGACCTTTAGCCGGAACCAAAAAAGCTTCGGCTGTGCTATAACGAGTTCCGTTATATGTTGAAGACTGCAGTAGTGTAATTCCAATTCCTTCATCAGCATTTATATCGGAAATAATTGGAACACCCGATTCTCGATAAGCTTCTGTTATTGCGGTAAAAAACGACGAAGGTGTATTTGATGTGATTTTCACCGGTCCAGTGGCGCTATGATACTTTCCACCATCGTAATTAACTAGACTTTCGTTTTGATTGCCTTCAGATTTCTTGAAAAATGGCAAAACACCATCGTAGTTCCAGTCTGGATTCCCAAAACTGGCCCACTCTTCGAAGTCTTCTTCCACACCGCGTACATAAACCATCCAGTTTATCGAAGATGATCCACCAAGCATGTTACCCCTTGGAAGATAACATTGGCCGGGAACAGAAGCATACTGACACGCCTTGGTTACGTTTATACGAAAATTATAATCCGCTGGAGATTGTAGCAAACTCACTGCCAATCCGGGCACCTATGCATTATTGATGGAGAAAAAACGAATAAAAAAGATTTCAACAACAATAATATTTTCTTTCTTTGAATTAGAACGATAAATACGTTTGGAATGAATTGATAATTTGAAGAGACCTTTCATTCCATAAATTTAGTTGCTAGTTGCTTGAAGCAATCTTCATCTAATTGACACTTACGACTGACTCAAAGGGTGGATCTCCACCGTTTTCAAGCAGCAAAATTTTCCAATCGGATATTTCACTCAACCGACTTGCGACTATAGCTCCAGCTGAACCCGACCCGACCACAATGAAATCGTAGCCATCCAACCGTCCTAGTGAAAAATTCAATTTGATCTACATTTGGTTCTATAAACAATCAAAATTTGAATAGTTACCATTTTTCAATCCATCCTCTCCATAATCTCTCGGCCAACGATTGGGCCCAGCAATGGCACACTGTGCAGAAGCAAATATTTGAATCAATGTAATAAACATTGAATTTGCTACGCCAATACTTGTAGCCGCACATTGAGGCGACGTACAATTTTGACTGAAACTCGACATTTTACAAGGAAAATTAATCTTCTCCTCGGGAATACAGCTTCAGTTGTGGTGCTAAAGTGCGCAAAATTGTGGTGGTTCAACAGATGAATACATCTCCTTTTATATGGTATTCACTGTTTACAATTCTTTTTGACAAACTCGGAAGCTAGTTTGCACACGATTGGAATTTGAAAAATGGCAGAAATTGTAAATAAAAAACAAGAACTTTAAGTAAACTGAAAATAAATTAAATACTTTTACGTAAAATAAGCGAATCGTTAAACCATCAAAACAATTCAATTATTAAAGCTAATCAAACAGGCATAATAAAAGATAAACCACACATTCCGTGTGACTGCATATCGAGCTGAGCTATTTACAAATAGCTGGCTGTTTGGTACAGTTTGATTTTGTGAGTATCGAGCCATGCAAATTCATGTGAGATGATAAATTTGGGACACCTTTTTCATTCCTTTCCATGATTTGTGTCATAAATTTATCGTTAATTTTCTACAAAACAATTTTTATATCATATTTGGGAACAACACGAAAAAATCTTCCGATACGAATATATAACTTAATTGTATTTTTTTTTAGAAAAGCGGTTTAATCTGAGACCATGTTACGATTAGAATTATGTTACAATTTGGATGGTTTACGATATGTCGGTTTGAATATTCTTTTGCATGTTAGGCTCTTATGCCAAATTATGCGAAACTCATTTATCGTACCCAATCTTTTTTACTCAAATGTACACAACGCAATCACTGATCTATATACTCTGCGTAAAACATCTAAAATGTACAGAATTTGCGTAAATCAAGATTTGTTATTGTTTAAGCAGCAAGATGTTTGCACATTTGTAGAAAATATTGAAATTATCATCACAATTTAAGCGGTTTCAAGGTCAATTTAGATTACAAACTGTACAAATAATTAATTGGAACAAAAAGAGATTTTTCAAACTTTTTTTCATGTTTGGACTGGAAATTCACATATGAACATGATTTTATTTTCGTGTGTATTTAGGATTTAAAAACCCGTTGCAAAAGCTCGTGATAATAAAAAAACATCCTTTGAAAAAATTCCGTGAGCCATTTCTTAGTTATGATATCGACTCCACCATGATCAACTTGCATGCCGTTCCACACTCCCCAATGACTTAGCATGGAACAAAAGAATAAATTTTCAAAGAATGACTTTTCTGATCACATATGGCGCTGTAACTCCCTTCACAGCTAGAAAACCGTTCTAAAAATTTAATGTCAGCTTCATGACGACGAAACAAGACTCTCAGCCAATTTTGAGCGATATGTCGTGTGGGCAGATTTAGTTATTATCAAAAATGTCACCAATCATCGAAAAAACTCGAAAAGTGATGACCAATAAAAGACAAAATATGTTAGTAGCAAGGGAGTTGACCTGTTCAGTCCAAGTCTTCAGAAAATCAACATATTGAGAATCTCTATTCCCAAATCGAAGAGAATGTGATTTTCTACCGATTTAGACACTTGCATTACCTCCCATCACCCATATGGTCGACCAATGTCACCTAGCATGGAACAAACGAAGAAATTTTCAAAGAATGACTTTTCTGACCACATATGGCGCTGTATCTCCTTTCGCAAATAGAAAACCATTCGGAAATTCCAAATGTAGCTTTACGAAGACGAAAAACGACCTCAGTTTGACATTTTGACCAAAAAAAGTATTTTTAAAAGAAGCTGTCTCCTGACAAGATTTTTAATATCATTTAATGATATTTGATTTTAACTTTTCTTATTCTGATACAAAATACGTATGCTGTTAATTTACGCTAACGTTTCCGGAAAACGTGTTTCCGTCATCAGGCGAGTTGAAGAACTGAACAAAATACAAAAATCTTGTCAGATGGCTACTCAATTATTCAATTTGAAAGATACCAAAAAACAATCATCGGTCGTTAATGTTTTCGAAAATTTGTGTAGAGCCGTTTCGACCTGCGCTCTTTGGATGTTCATGTTATTGCGCTTAGTTTTGTAAATGTACAAATGAATGAGCAAGCGGAATAATGAAACGTAATTCTTTTTGTAAAATGAAGAGCCCCCGAAAAAAAATTTCAGTAAAAGTGCCCCACAAAAATATTGTCTGAATAAACGACACGTGAATTTATTTATTTATTTATTTATTTCACCGTCTAATCACAGACTGAATATCATTATATATTTCATTTACAATTTGAATTTTACACAAGTAGTGAGACACTCCCGAATCGAAAGGCCCAGCCACCAGCCCTAATGGCTTCGAAGTGGCGTTCTGCGGCCCTCGACCGTGTTCACCATCATTCACTGTACATTCAATTCTTCGAAAATACTGTTGTCTAAGTTGAACACGTTTCTACTAAATATTTGCCTTGATGCTGAGTCTAAGAACGATTGCCTTACTTTGTTAAAATTTCTACACGCTACAATAAATGGCTGATTACGAGCATAGTCCGTGCCATAAGTTTCAATTCTAACTAAATCTCTATTTCTTACATTTCTTTGGTTTCTGTTGTCTAATCGTCTTGTATACACAATTCTTTCTCTGAGTGCTGTGCACATCAACTTTCCTAGGAGGAGATCATAGATTAATAATACTGAGGCATTTATACGCCGCCTCCAAAGTGGTTGAATATTCAAATTATCACATCTAAATTGATACGATGGCAACCTGTAATTAACATCTCTTTGGTAAATTCCTCTAAGTGCCCAGATTACAAAGTCTTTTTGAACTGATTCAATTTTGTCAATATAAGACTGGTGGTATGGATGCCACACTACACTAGCATACTCTAATTTCGATCGAACTAATGCACAATACAATATTTTTTCTGATTCTATAGTAAACTTGTTCTTCAATGTTCGCTTAATAAAACCTAGTGCACCGTGTGCGCTAGCTACTGTCGTATCAATGTGAATGGCGAATGTGAGTTTCACGTTAAAAATGACACCCAAGTCTCTGTGTGACTCAATTCTATCGAATTTGTGCTGCCCATTGTCTATCGTGTATTCATATTTCCGTACGGTGATGTTCTTCGCATATGTCATAACGAAACATTTCTTCAGATTCAAGTAGAGCTTGTTGATCCTACACCACTCGTACAATTGGTCAATGGCCATTTGGAATAAGCGGGCATCGTTCGGCGACGTGATTCTCAATATGAGTTTTAAATCATCTGCGAACAACAAAACATTCAATTTCTTTGCGTTGTGGTAAAATTCCATACAAAACATAGGGAATATGACTTTACAGATGCACATAAAAAAGGAAGCACTGGAACCTGGTCAAATCCTGAGAATCCATAGATCAGCTGAAATTTCACCGGATTTGTATTTTAGGCCATCAAACCAGCCGGGTGTTTACACTCCCTTTGGGAGTGATATCACGGTCCATTTTGCCGATTCATCCAGCCGTTTTCGAGATATTTCCGTGTGTACATTTGGCCATAGAAGCCAATGCAATAGCAGCGGCGCTCCGAGGTTTTCATACAAACTTCCCATGTAGACGGTCTAACACAGGCAAAATCGAAAAAAAAGTTTAAATTTTTTTTTTCGATTCTAATACAGTATTTTTTGTGCCCAATCCATTGATGTTATCGCCACATCGAAATTCGAGCTCCTTATCAATTAATTAAGGAGCTGAATAATTGTGGTATTTATGCAGCTTTGTGCACGGGTTGTAATTGGCAGCCAATTTATTTTGTTTCATTTAATTCTCTATGTTTTGACATTGCACAAAAAATATTGCTTATACAAGTTACATCAAAAGGGTAACTTAATATTAAACTTCCTCTATATAGGCCTCTACATCACCCAAGAAACATGAAACTAACGGCGTAGTGCTTGATTCAATGCTGATAAAAGTGGATATTTGCCAGCACCACAAGTTCCTTTGAAATCATCAAAACTGAAATTAAAATTGAAAAATTAGATAAATATTCATATAAGGAAAGAAAAAAATCAAATAAAAATTACTCTAGAGTCCAGATCATGGCACCCGCAAGTTTTTTATCGCGGATATATTTTGATTTGACACGCATTGTTTCGACATCATCGAAAGACGCCCATTGATTGCCCTTGAACGCATATGGGCCATACTGTGCATTTTTCACAACAGTCCATCCTTGATTTTTGATATTGTCACAGATTTCGTAATACGCCAATGATCCGGCAGATTTCGTAAATTGGCCAGCTTGGCCCGGACCAGTTGTTGGTGCATTTAAACCATGATTTTGGGCATTTGCCAACGTGTAAGTGATGCCGTAGGTAGGAGCACCCATAACCAATTTTGTCGATGGAGCTCCGAGCTGGATCCAATAGTTGATTGCATAGTCGGCATAATTATTCAGCTCATTATCGGGATAATTGTAGAGTGGTGCGAGTTGACCGGTCTTTTGATTCCATGTCCCATGAAAATCATATGCCATCACACCAATCCAATCTAAATGTTGGGCCAATGAAGGAACGTCATAAGCACCATCAATAACTCTGAAGTAAGCATTTACAGCCGCCGACAACAGCCAGCCACGAGGTTTAAATTCCTGCGAGAGTTCCTCAACGAATTGGGCAAAGTCGCCTTTTTGTGCTGCATCTTCAGGCCGACAGTCTCCATGCCAGCAAGCCGGGTACTATTCCGCAAAGAAAAATATAAATCGAAAATGAACTTAAGAATATGCTTGAATCGTGTGCTCAAGAATCTTACTTCCAAATCAAGATCCAATCCTTGGAAGTTGTGTTGCTGAATGAAATCAATTACATTCGTAATGAAATTGTTTCTTGCATTTGCATCGCTGAGAAGGCGTCCATATTTTTCACCTTCAGAATCGGCTCCACCACCCAGAGCAACGCTAACTTTAACTCCTTTGTTACGTAATTCGGTAATTCGTTCATACAATTGGTTATCGATTTGCGGTTCTTGTACTTTAATTGTCAATGAATCTGAATCTAAAACAGCAAATGAATATACAACGTGCGTGCACAAGTTCGAATCGATATCTTCTGGGACAAATTTTCCATTTCCTTCGCGATAGAAAGACCAATTTGTAAAATAGCACACCGTTTTGTAAAATAGCACACCACTTTCAATCTTTCTGGTTTTGCTTCTGCTTGGTCGCTGAACAAAACAATCAGAACAGCAGAAACGATAACGAACGTTGCAAAGTATTTCATTTTTCACCCTTATTTTCTTCAAATTAGAAATATTTGCTATTCAGCACAGTTCCATATACACACTGAACGAGATGCGTCGAAACAAAGTCATTTATATAGCGAAAAAAATAACAACTTACACACTCAATAATTACATATACATTCAATGCAGATATCTGCGTTAAAAATGAACTTATTGGTGCTACACATTAAAACAGTAAAACCTGTCAATAATGGAATCCCGTGGGGAATTTTTTTCCCCACTATTGACAAGAATTCCAGTATTCACAGGATCCGTTATTCAGAGGATTTTGAGCCGATTCAAACAAGATTTTCCATTATTGAGGGTAAAAAGAAACAAAACATACATTTTTATGGGTATTAAATTATCAAATCAAGTGATATAATGAACGTGAAAAGGAAAAAATGAAATAAAAGTATTTTTTTTACTAAATGAATGAAGGAAAAACGAAAGTGAAAAAACAGTGAAATTCACTGAGTGAATGACAAACATCACTTTTTAAAATAATCAAATAGTCTAAACAATGAATCAAAATGGGAAGGTAAATGATACTCATTTTTTTTACACTATCAATTTGGCAGCGATGAATTCTGCATTTCATGAAACGAAACAATGATTACCAAACTTAATGTAAATGCACTGATCGAGTGAATATGTTTTTATTGGGAGCGTCAAAAAATTTGTTTGCTTGAATTAATAAGCAATGATTTTGGCAGACAAAAGTGAAAACTATCCCCAGATGGTCTAGTCTCAACAGAATGAATAAATGAATAAAAATCCTTTAAGGTTAAGTTAATATTCAAATACTGATCTTTCATTGCGCTATCCGCTTCTTTTATATCAAAAGAAGCGGAAGCGAATGAGCTTTATTTATAATTCTACCCAAAATAGGAACTTGACAATGGTTGTTTACATTTTAATAATTTTGTTGAGCTTGTATGTTTACTTGCGTGAACAATAATACTGAAATGAATGTAATGTAAATTGTACTGCACAATTTTTATGATGATCAGTGGTTTTGATATAGGAAAAAATTAGTTTTATATGAAAAAGAGATGAATAAAAGACGAAAAAAAATGTCGTCAAGAAATTTTTTTCCACTATTGACACGATTTCCACTATTCTCAGGTTCCGTTATTGACAGGTTTTACTGTACCATTCTTCTACGCACATTTTTGCGTTATAGCTCATAATTAATAAGTACGTTTGTGTCACAAAGCAGAATCGAGGAATATCCGCACAAAAGGAAATGAAAAACAAACACAAACGTACCTATAATGCAAAAATGTGCATAGTAGAATGGTTTTAACGCGCACTACCGATAAGTTTATTTTTAACGCAAATATCGGCATTGAATGTGTTTGTAAATGCTGTGATTGTATCAACAACTATTATAACTTGCGAAACTCTCATAAGAGTAATATATCTATGCCCTTTATCAAATAATAGAATGGATTGAAATGAAACAGCATTATTGAGATTAGTATAAAATTCCCGATGCGTCACTTTCACATATATAATATAGAAAATGGTTTGTGTCATCCATGTAATGTCGGGAAAATAATTTTCTCTCTATTTCAAATAATTTTTCCGTTTATAAATGACCATGACAAAATTATGAAAACACATGGGAGTTTTTTTTTTTTCAAATGAGAGGAATTTCGGAGAAATGTTATCTTTGGCCAGCAGGAAAAACCCATATTTTTGCGACGAGTAAGAATGACTAAATTTTGTTTTTATTTCAAAAAAATATCCAGAAATACGATTGGAATCATAGTTATCTTACAAAAACAAAAATGAAATGATGTGATTAATTACACCATGTGTCACATGCATGAGCGATTCTCGTTGAAATATAATCCTTTTAACAAAATTAATGGGGCACAACCTTGGGTTTCAATACAAAATCCAGGCTTATCAAAATGATTCATTGTTTTTGGTCAGCGTGTATAAAAAGACGGCCGCACATAGGAATTTCGTAGTCCAGTAAAAGCAATTGCGCAGTTAAAACATAAAAAATGAAATTCTCTGCTATTTTCGTTGTCGTTTCTGCTGTTTTGGTCGTTTTAATTAGCGATCAAGCACAAGCGGAGAATTATAAAGTCGTGTGTTACTTTACGAATTGGTCATGGTATCGAAAAGACAAAGGAAAATATACACCAGAAGACATCGATCCAAAGTTATGTACCCATATTGTATACGCGTTCACTACTCTCGATGCAAATACATTGACGATGAAAGTATTCGATTCGTGGGCTGACATTGACAACAAGTTATATCAAAAAGTAACCGATTTCCGGAACAAAGGAGCAAAAGTTACGGTGGCTCTTGGTGGATGGAATGATTCGGTTGGTTCAAAATACGGTAAACTACTTACCGATGCTGGTGCAAGAAAGAAATTCATTGCGGATGCTGCCGAATTCATTAAGAAATACAATTTCCAAGGATTGGACCTTGACTTAGAAGTGAGTTTTATTTCAATATTCAGAAATTTTACAAAGAATAAATTTAAATGTTATCATTGCATCCGGAATTATTTCGTTAAATTTTAATCTAATTTCCGATATATTTCCAACTAGTATCCGGCCTGCTGGCAAGGAGCTTGTTCATCTGCAGATTCAAATCAAAAAGTGGGCTTTGCCCAATTGGTTCAAGAACTCTCAAATGATTTCAAGCCCCGTGGTTGGTTGTTGTCGGCAGCTGTATCGGCAAGCAGTTCAATCATCGATGCCGCCTATGACGTTCCAAAATTAGCCCAACATTTAGATTGGATCGGTGTAATGGCATACGATTTTCATGGACAATGGGATCGTAAAACCGGCATAAATGCCCCTCTTCACAATTATCCTGGAAATTCCAATAATTTCTATGCTGATTATGCCATTAAACATTGGATCCAACGCGGAGCGCCATCGACAAAACTGGTTCTGGGTGTACCGTGCTATGGGCAATCATTCACTTTGGCAAATGCTGGAGATCATGGTTTGAATGCGCCATCAAATGGTGGAGGCCAAGCCGGTGAATTTACCCGAGCTGCTGGAATGTTGTCATATTATGAAATTTGTGACAATATCAAAAAAGGATGGACTGTTGTGAACAGCGCGGAATATGGCCCCTATGCATTCAAGGACAATCAATGGGTATCATACGACGATGTCGAAACCATAGGTGTCAAATCAAAATACATTAAGGATACAAAACTTGCAGGTGGCATGATCTGGTCGTTGGACTTCGACGATTTCAAAGGAACTTGCGGTGCAGGCAATTATCCACTTTTGAAAGCATTGAATACAGGACTAGGCCGATAGCTTGATGGTTGTTCACAAAAGATAAATTGATTCAAGGGTTTTTCAATGTTCATCATGTCCGTAAACTTTTTTTGATAATCAATAAATTGAAGGATTTCCATTTGTCCTAATGCTTTTCTTTTCATTTTCGAGGCTTTAATCCAACTTATGATGTTATATATTTATTTTTGGCTTTTCCTTTTTACGCACTCCTAAACCACATTTGCATCTAGCATCAAAAATTAATTGCCCTGAACATATTCTTTGGTGCAGCCCAACCACTGGCTTTTGTGGGTGACGGTTTGCAATTGCCAGCAAATGAAAGCGTAGATATGCCCAACAATGTGAGAGTTAATTTAAACATGTGAACTAATCAATTCATAGTACGATCCTGGTTTATCAGCATAATCCGGAAAACAAGCATGCTAAGCTGCACAACTAAGGGTTAACCACACATGTTAGATAAGAATAGTAGTCAAAGGAATTTCCCACAAATGAATAATTATTTTAAAAAAAACCACTGACAAGATAAAACTTGGGAAAAACCAAAATTTATTACGAGAAAAATGTGTGTAATTTTATTTCAACAAAGCCGTGACAATTAAGAAACAGTGGGTTTAAGCTCACTGCAGTAAAATGTGCATATTTTGTGTCGTGAATTATATAACTTGGTTTCCATTATTTGTGATGTTTCTATTCAGAATTCATGCCTGAAATGTTTCCTTTTAAATGGCCTATATTTTAACTGAATCGATGATAAACAAAGATTTTACTTCATTGGCCCATGATGGTAGCCATTGTTCACGACGCCTCCAGAAATCCTTTGACGCTGTATCAGGTGATTCGTTACTCCATGGCTTGTTGGTTTCATCCGAATCCGAATCCGGGAAAAACCCTGAAGTACCACCAATCGCCAGGTTTATGAGGAGGTAATACTGTGAGGAGCAAATCATTGCAAATGAATGAACGACGAACAAAACAAATGAATGTAAATTTAAATACAAAAAGAAGACGAAATGAACTCACTTGTTGATCAAATGGTGCAGTGACAGCACCGTTTGCCCAAGGATTTGCCCCAGGCAGGTTTGACTGCTGCCAATAACCATCTTGCACCGGAACGGATCCAATTTCTTCGTCATCAATAAGAAACTTGATTCCGCTGTCATCCCAAATCAATCCAAACTTGGGAAAAGCTTCGTCGTATCCGCGTTCATTGGTTTTGTTGAATGAATTGGATGCATGATTCTCATTGGCTAATTGACCGTAATGTAATGTTGATTCGACATCATTGACATATTTACGGTTGCCACGAGATTCCATCACATCAATCTCGCCATTCCACCCTTTGTAGTTGTCTTCGGCAGCCAAAAGCCAAAGACCTGATCAAAAAACACACAATTTGAAATTTAGTGCAAAAAATTACTTCAAAAGACAAACATGTAGAAGTGACCACATCCAATCTCCGATGGGTAATTTCGCAATGAACTCAACGCGTCCGTATTTGAAGGTGAACGAATTCTGCGTATTCAAGCGAGCACTGCGTATGGGATTGATTATGGTGTCGCCGCCAGCCTGCTTGTGGCAATTTTTTTCTGGATTATTTTGGTCGGTACAGTCTTTCAAATCAACGGAACCATGTTCCACATCGTCTTCACCGATTTCATGTGACGTTAACGTCGGTTTTATGTGTAGTTTTCCATTTTCAGCAAAGCTATTCTCATCATCAGCCACGTACCATTCGAATTCGTTGTTCTATGAGAGAAATGATGGAAAATAAAAAGAAAAAAATAAAGGAAAATCATTAGATTGAACGAAATTCCATCAGAAAATATATTCAGAAAATTGTTAATATTTGGATATTATTATTGTACTTACACCGCCGCCTTCAAGTGTAACTTCCGGTTGCCACAATTGTTTGTCCAAAGTGTCGAAGTTTTCGTCCAAAATCAATTGGCCCGAACAGATCTCGCTTGGAGCATAAGATCCTCCAACAGTCGTAATTGACGGTGTGCAGTCCTGAGCATGAGCACAGACTGAAATATTCAACACAACAACAAATAGCCTGAACATGTCGATTTTTTAATGATTCGTTCTGCTCGGCGCAAATCGAAGTGATCTGGTTGAAACTAGCACTGCCTTAAATACTCATTGATACACAGAAGTTTCGTGCTTATTTATTCCCAGATTATAACCGATATGACGCAGTTAATGCAACGCAAAAAGATTAAACGCAAGAATCGAAGGGCTTGCGACGAACAAATATATATGAAATATCTTCAAATATATTCAAATATGCCAAATATTTCAAATATTGAAGCATTATTTGTTTACAAAATGCATCTTGATGTGTATGTTTGACATATTTGGCTATATTTCAAATATTTCATATATTTGAAAATTGAGAGAAATATTTCATATAGATATAGTCAAAATAATATCGGGTAATACCAAAAAATGTCAAAATGTGGCTTAAATATGCCTTAAATTTATCAAATATTCCAAATATTTGAAATATGACTGAAATATAGAATTATATGAAAATATTGCCGTATTTCAGGCGCCGCAAGCCCTTCGGCAAGAATTTCTATAGAATGCCGGAAAGATAACGAGTCATGCGCTTGTTAAGTTTTTTCTCTGGGATCGCACTCAATATTATAGCGACATCTATTATTAAAATAGCTTGTAGTAAACGCATTCATAGCATTTCACTGTAGTTGCGATGTTACCTAATAAATTCCCCTGTGGTATGTAGTTAACAAGTGTCAAACATGAATGTGTCAGTACTACAAGGGAATTCAATAGGAAACATCGCAACTACAGGGAAATGCTATAAATGCATTTACTACAAGCTATTTTAATAATAGATGTCGCTATAATGTTGAGTGTGATCAGTAATCTATTACATAAATCATAGTAACAGTTGTGGCGGGGCAACAAATTACATCTCACTTGTTTTGTTTATGTTAACGAAATACATAATATATTGTTTTATTGGAACATTAAATAATAATAATCATTATTATTATTATTATAGCAATTATAATTACTTTTATATATATAATCGATTCAAATCTACAAAGACAGCAAAATTTTAATCAGAAATCTCAACCTTTCAATTTTACAAGGAATCAACTGTGATATGACGTCATCTCACAATATTTTTTGCAAACAATGTTTACCGCCTGGCAAAGCTTGTTTTATATTTTTGTTCCAAATTCAATTGTTTTGATTTCGATCCTTTGTTACCTTCAACAGAAATTACTTGATGAGATTTGAATCGATCAAGGACCAATGCTGAGCAATTGCTCAAGAAGATATAAATCACTATGAACATTTCTTTGACGCTTCAACTTTCTTGGGTCAAATAAAAAACTGGTGAAGTATCCACAGGAAGTTGTCGCTTGAAAACATTTCACCATCCGAAGCTAGCCAATGAAAACAAATACAGCATCAAATGCTCTGTTATGTTTCAAATCATGGTTTAATGATAAACTCAAACCACTCTACAATCAACATGGATCTGCTCAACCGACGTAAAACTTCTCGTCAATTTATCTACTGTATAAATTGAGTGACGACCTTTGCAGTCTCAAAGTCTCAAATTAAACGCGTAACATTTAACGCTCCACATAGCCTTTGTCCCTTTGCAAACGTTTACCGAAGGTTATTTTGGACCGTTTGCTATCTGACTACTATCAAGCATTTGCATCTTGGTTGTATGACTGTGTTTTTGTTTTCATGTCCTACTTGTGTAAATGCTGAAAAGATTACGAAAAGAGTCAGGTTTTTAACGAGGCAAGAACTGATAGTTACTGCTATTGTTATTATTAATCATTGTAAAAAAAATTGATGTAACAGATTGGTAGACTATTTGAGCACTTAGATAAGTCAGGGGGATTGCAGATTGACAGTTAAGCTACATGATATATACTGAATGAATAGTTCTGTAGCTTGCCGTATATGATATTGTAGGGCAAACTGCGGCGCTAGTGTGCTTGTGTTTCAATCTACAAACCCCCTGAGATAAGTATTGAACAATGAAATTAATAAGCATTCTTTCTGAAAATTTCAAGCTCAAAACAAAATGTGCCCAAAATTTTCAGTTCATAGTGAACCAATAGTAACTATTTTTGTTCAGATTATTTACATTTTTGGCTATACCATTTGTTTTCATATTGACAATTTGGTTGGTTACAAACTACACAATTTTCTATTTTGTGCGATTTTGGATTCATCTGTTTTGATAAAGTCAATTGAAATTGGAAGAACCTATTTTAAAAAATCACCGTATTTGTTTCGTTCATTTCCAGTGCATTTCGAAATTCGGTGATCCAAAATAAATATAGGTGTGTTTCCGCTAAAATATAAGAGTCAAGTGTTTCCATTGAATTAAAAACCCTTAACATGCTTGAAGATTCGAAAGAAATTAAGCTTATGGGCGAATAATTACATATCAGTTATGTTGCTGATAATAAAAGTGGGAATAACAAAAAAATCATATTCAAAATTTACATTTTTTACATTACGTACCTATCGAAGTCGTGTGGCGGCTGTTGAACGTCAAAGTCATTTGAGGCGACGCGAGCGCCCCCCAATTTCAAAGGGCACATTAATGTAATTTAACATTTCAAATCGGAACTACACAGCGCGCCAATTCGAAATATAGGAAAATATAGTGTCAACAGCCGCACCATGATCGAAGTGTCGATTCATGTAAAATTCTCAAGAAACATGTTACGCCTCAGTTCAAACACTTCTGTATTGACATTTTATTGGATCGGTTTGTTTTTCAAGTTCTGCATGTGCATATAGTATTATTTCGGCTAAAAAGCTCCCATAGCAGCTTCTATTTGTAAAACACAAATTTAAATATTTACTTAAGTCAAGATAACAATGCGTGCTGTTTATCATGGTAGAAACATCTGTGCACGGGAATAAATAAAAGAGACAACTTTTCTCAGAATATAGAATGTCATGTGGGGTCAAACTGTGCTTTTGACCGGCGCAAGATAGCGGTGGCGCCTATTCGCAATTTTCGGAATTTTTAAGAACTATCAATACTTGTTGTTGTTGTCATGAATTTCGCAACAACAAGAAGTATTGATAGTTCCTTAAGTTGCCGCAGATCCTATTTTGGCGCTACCGCTATTCACTGTCACGTCAAATACATTGGTTCTTATGGGAGAGAAGCACAGGTTGTGTGGGGTAGGTAAACAAAGAAAAGAACAGGTCATTTTTCAAGCAGAGAATGAAACAATAATGAATTTCAAGTAGAATAATTTTCATTCTAAAATTAGATTTGAAAACATCAGCGGGTTTTTCGCTTGAGAACGCAAATAATCGTATTGCGGATAGTCGGCGAGTACTACGCGAATACTCTGAAATGCCATGCGCAGCCAACTTCATGTTGGAATCGTACTGTTGTTCGCAGCGCGAACAATTGCAGGATATTCAGCGATAACATTTTGCGGCAACCTTTATTATGGATTCCTATTCGCATTGCGAGTATCCGCACTTTAGAATGGATATGCGACGGAGTGTCGGCGGACACATATTTTACCGCAAATTTCTCGTCGGGATGTGAATAAGGTTACTATGTACAAAAGAAAAGAAGTCAGATACACTTGTTATCTGGATAACCGATAACATGTTTTTATTTAAATTTTGGGCCTGATTTTCTCTTACTGCTTTACTTCTAATTTTATTTTGGTTGTCGTTTCTAAGGTGCTTCGGAGCGTTTCATATTTTTGTGTATTTTATTTTTTTTCTCAGAATTTTACTCATTTTTTGTGTTTCTTTGTTTAATGGGATACATTTTATGTCCTCCTTATCAAAATGATTTTACCACCTCGTGTAGAAAAATGGGGTCGTGTAGAATGTTGCATCATAAAAAAACCAACAATTTATCAATATTGTTGCCAACCATCGGTTTGACAAGTTGAAAAAAATGTCAACCGAGTTGTGTTTCAAGATTTGCATGTACAATATGCGGGTAAGAAATATGCACGAAATCTGACGCAAGAAGAAAATCAACAATGCGCAATACATGGTAAAAAACCTCAATTGTGCTGTGAAGGAGACACCTAGTATGATTATGATATCGTAATAGCGGAACAAATCATTCGGACTATAAGCCTCAAAAGATTACGATAGGTGTTGTTTTTATAACAAAAACATCTGCGTATGCAATTAAAACATAAAACACTTTTCTCAGAAATAATAAATAAAAGTACAACAAAACAAAAAAGTATACGGGTAAAGGAAAAAAACCTTAAAATAATACATCAAGCAGATAATGAAACAATGTTGAATTTCAAATTTAATGAATTCTATTTAAGAATTAGATTAGAAAACCAACAACTCAAATGTTTTTCACACTTTATCACACAACCGCTGACACGTGCACTTTTCAGGCATATTGCGTAACATCAATACTTTATTGAAAATGTATGATCCAAATCCATGTTGGAAATATGTTAAAAGAAGGGACATTGAAAACTCATATTACATGAATAAGAGTGTTTTCTTTTAAACTGTGGAACGTGAACCATATTGTGTTTTGTTGGTCGTTTTCAAGATATCTTTTTTATTTTTGTGTGTTCTATACATATTTTCTGCGTAATTAAATATTTTTTCTCTCCAAATATCATTTTTTTTTCGTACTCTGCCCGTTTTGTTAGGTTCATATCGTTGGCCCCACCCAAATTTGGTGCTGGCTGATCGAATGCACTAGCATTTGGTGCTTCTTTAGTGCTGTCGATTGTCACCTACCACGACTTTGGTGCTGCTTCCCGAGCACAGCACCAAAATTTTCAAAATTAAGAACATAATTACGAAAATTACGAAAACGACATGGTTTTAATTTTGAAAATTTTAGTGATGGGCTCAGGAAGCAGCACCAAAGTCTTGGTAGGGACAAATGGACAGCACCAAAGTAGCACTAAATGCTAGTGCATTCGATCAGCCAGCACCAAATTGGGGTGGGGCCAACGGCATGGACCTCGAATAGTTTGCTTAGAAAAATGCGTCAAGACACTTTATGATACACATTGATAGCCGGCTTCATAAAAACATTTGTACCTCCTCGTATATATAAAAAGAAGAATCAATTCATTCTTCATAAAGAATAATTACACAGTTGATACATTTCAAAAATGAATTACTATGTGATACCTGTCCTCGTTTCTGTCATTTTGGCGGTTTTCGTTAGCGATCAGGCGCAAGCACAAAATTACAAAGTAGTGTGCTACTTTACAAATTGGTCTTTCTATCGCAAGGGAAATGGCAAATTTGTCCCAGAAGATATCGATTCGAACTTGTGCACGCACGTTGTATATTCATTTGCTGTTTTGGACGAGAATTCATTAACAATCAAAATATTTGATTCGAAGACCGACATTGACAACCATTTTTATGAACGAGTGACCGACTTCCGACAAAAGGGCATTACAGTGATGGTTGCAATCGGTGGATGGACTGATTCAACATCAAAATACGGGCGTCTTCTTACCGATGCAAATGCAAGGAAAAATTTCATCTCAAATGTTGAAGAATTCATTGAGCAACACAATTTCAAAGGATTGGATCTTGATTTGGAAGTAAGTGTTGTTTACAATATTGAATCATTTTTCAAATATTCTTCTCCAGTTCTTCATTTGTACTGAATAATTTCTTTGAATTTCAATCTAATTTACTTTATATTTCAAAATAGTACCCGGCCTGCTGGCAAGGAGCTTGCTCAACTGGAAATCCAGCGGAGAAGGACGGTTTCGCGCAATTCGTTCAAGAATTATCTGAAGCTTTCAAGCCGCGTGGCTGGCTACTATCGGCTGCTGTATCTGCAGGCAGTAGCACTATTGATGCCGCCTATGACGTTCCAAAATTGGCACAGCATTTGGATTGGATTAATTTGATGGCTTATGATTTTCATTCATACTCGGATCAGAAAACTGGTTCAAATGCTCCACTCTACGATTATCCCGGTAATTCAAATAATATGTACGTTGATTATGCCGTTCAATATTGGATTCAACTTGGTACTCCATCGACAAAACTCATTCTGGGTGCCCCGTGCTATGGCAAATCTTTCACTTTGGCAAATGCTCAGGACAATGGAATGAATGCGCCAACAACTGATCCGGGCCAAGCTGGCCAATTAACAGGTGCGGCCGGAACGTTGGCATATTATGAAATCTGTGATAATATAAAAAATCAGGGATGGACGGCTGTGAGAAATACCAGCATTGGCGCATATGCTTTCCGTGATAATCAATGGGTGTCTTTTGATGATGTCGAAACCATGCGCTTCAAATCGAAATACGTTCGCGACTCGAATCTCGGTGGAGCAATGATCTGGGCATTAGATTTGGACGATTTCAAAGGAACTTGTGGTGAAGGCAATTATCCACTTTTATCAGCATTGAATGAACGATTGCGCAACTAGTTAAATAGTCTATTTCACTCCAAAAAGATTTAATTGATTTGTAATTTTTCTAACTAGACAGATAGATTTCTTGCACTCTTTTTTTTCGTTTAGCCATTTATAGAGTTTAATAAATGAATGAATAAATGTATTTTATATTGCCAATCAACTCTAAATGGTTCATATTTTTTTCTATGAATTAATTTAAAGCACCATTGTTATCTTCCACGATCATGAAATAATAGTATGAATTGTTGAGAATAGTAGGAAAATTTTCAACCTCATCACAGAATGCAGGAAAATAATTTGATTTTGATCATTCCATTTTTAAAATGTTTTCATTCATTAGATCCGTATTTCGTTTTGACGATTCAACAGCACTTCATCCATAAAATTCATTGTCTGTTTGCAAAAGTTTGAAATTAGATAAATCTGTTATGTATTTACACTTGAGCATGTGCTTGGTTAAGCATTCTTTATCTATTTTTGTGTTGTCTCTGTGTGGAAAAGTCAAATATTTAAGTCACAATGTGAGTACGTACAATGAATACGTACAATGATCGCACTGACTCTCAGCAAATATCAGTATCTTACTGCGTGCTGGTCAACGCACATACAAAAACACAACAAATGATGAGCATTTCAAACAACACCATCGACCGAATTTTTGTTAGAAGAGCAAGACGATGACAAAAACATCGTCACAGCTGATTTCACTGAACACACACACACCGCATTCGTGCTTTAGTTTTAGTTTTCGTTACATATTCTTTCTTCTTTTTGTTCTTTTTTCGTTTCTTTTTTTCTACTTCATTTTTTCTATATTCACTTGTCATACCGACGCAACTTTCGAATTCTTCGTTGAAAATTAGTATAATAATGACCTGTCCAAAATTGAATCAAGACTTCAAATGGTACTCAGATTGATGTCGCTGATTAACACTATGACCGTTTCTTGGGCACCCAGGGCCCCAAGCGAACTTTAAAGTTGAATAAAAATACTAAACAGTGTATAAACCAACCGGAGTTAAGTCTCATTGTATAGATTTCATGTTTATACACCAAAGTTGAGCGAAATCGTAGAGGTGAAATCCTATTCTTGTTCGGTTTCGTGTGGAATTGTCGATATAAGAGAAAAAAGAACTGTGATTTGTTTTGAATTTGATTTTATTTTGTTTCGTCTTTGAAATTAATTTAAGAATTCAACTGTGATCCCATTATGATTATCGTGTTATAAACGACTTCAGATGTTTACACAACATCAATAATTCAGCCCAAAAAGCATTCGAATGTGGGTTTTATTCAAAGAAGTGACATTTTCATTAATGTAATGAGAGGTAAATGTTCTATTTCATGCACAATGAATTGTATTGTTTTCACAATCCCTGAGGATGGAACGCAAATACGCGTCCGAAACGTCGGAACAACAGTGAAAAAGAGAATAAACAGCCGATAGCCCCACAATCGAAATAAAAACCTCGTTTTTTATTCGATTATTTTGCTTTTATCTTTTTAGCTCTGCGTAATGGTGGTCAACTGTAACCACGCTTCATTGAATTTTTGTTGGCATTACCCTTGGACTAACCTAACTCAAACATATAATGCACGCAGCCTAGAATTTGATTAATGCCAATGAACTCGGTTGTTAAACGTTCAAAATTAAAGCGGTTAATTGTGTTTATAACAGTACAGGGTGGCGCAGAATAACTGTCCTCTTTTTTCACATCGCACGTTCTTATACACAATGTATTGCGATTCACCCGGCATTGTACCGTTATGTTTATTGGTGTTTACTCTAACACTTGTACTACGACGCATTTGTGTTCAGTGTTTGTTTGTGCTGCAATCACGATGGAAGCAAAACGTCATTTGGTTTTGGATTTGCGCAAGCGCGGCTTCAGAAAAATAGATATTTTTCGGAAGCTCCAAAATATCGATATTTGCATGAAATTCATTCAGCGTACTATCAAACGATTCAATGATCTTGGCACAGTTGAAATACAAAAACAATCCAGTCGTCAACGATCCGTTCATACCAAAAATCTCATTAAAAACATGAGAGACAAAATTCGAAGAAATCGCCACAGAAGTGCCAGAAAGAAACACAATGTCAGTCGAAGAACAATGCAAAGAGTTCTGAAAGATGATTTGGGAATGACTCCATTCAAAGAAAAAGCGTGGGCATGGTCTTACACTTAAACAGAAGCAAGCCAGAGTGGCAAGATGCAAGGAGCTGTTGCGCCGGCGCGCAACCTCAAACATTATTTTTTCAGATGAAAAGTTGTTCGTGTTGCAGCAAAGTCTCAATGCACAAAATGATCGTGTGTATGCAGTGTCAATTGTCGACATTCCTGAAGACGAATTGACCGTTCAGCGATTTCAAAATGCTTCACGGGTTATGGTTTGGGGCGCCTTTTCGGCCGGCCAAAAATTTCCGCTTGTTTTCATTGAAGAAGGCGTGAAAATCGATCGATTTGTTTACAGACAGAAAATATTGCGTCAAAACTTGTTGCCACAGTCCAGACGATTATTTCACAATGAACGATGGGTGTTTCAGCAAGATGGTGCACCGTCACACAAAGCGGTAGGGATTCATGGCCGCCGTCGTCTCCTGACTTGAATCTGCTGGATTATTTTGCTTGGGGTTACATGGAATCGAAGCTCAAGGGTCTAAAGATCACACAAATCACCACAATAAATGCATTCAAAAAGAATATAGAAAAAATTTGGAATGAAATTCCCATGAATATGGTGCGCGCCGCGTTTTTAAGCGTCTGCGGTTGGTGATCAGAGCAATGGGCAATCGAATCAATCCGAAAACGTGATTCGTAAACTTTGTAACAAATACTAACGGAAAATAAAAACTCTTTTCAAATTTCGTTGCAAATTCTACGTTTTTTAATTAAAAATAAAAAGAACAGTTGAACCCGTGAGCATAAAAACAACGTATTGACTCTTCGCCGATGAATACGAAACGCAAAAAAATCGCCGAACAAAGTGAAACACCAATCTGTTATTGGATCAATATGAAGCATGAAATCGTTGGCTACTATTTTATTCACGTTGCACTTTGTTTCGAAGCGCGGCAAGTGTTTCATTTTGTTCCAGTAACAGAACGTTGTATCACTTTGTTCGGCGACGCACTCAATGTACTGTTTTGGAAAAATATGCATGGTTTGATACAGTTTTGAGTCCATTGGTATGATGATTCATTTTAACACAACACCCATTCTATTTCGCTCACACTTACGTGCACTTTAACGTTGCTGAAACATGTACGTTCTTGTTTCTTTACTGCGCACATCTTTTTAACAGTAAAGCAGACTACTTTGTTATACGGGTAAAAATTGCACGTAAGTGTGAGCGAAATAGAATGGGTGTTGTGCATCCGTGTTTTGGCCATGTATAGATTTCACTATATAAACCAATGTATTCACAGCGGCGTGAACCCGCGTTCCGAGGATTTCATACAAACTTCCCATGTAGACGATCCAAAATAGGCAACAGTCGAAAAAAAAAGTTTAAATTTTTTTTCGATTTTCATATAGTATTTTTTCTGCTCTATTGGTGTTATCGGCACATCGAAATTCGCGCTCCTTATCAGTTTATTTTCACTTCATAAACAAATCACGACCAAAACCACCATTAAAATGAATCATCATACCAATGGACTCAAAAGTGTATCAAACATTTTTGTTTCAATTAAAGTGAAACACAATTTCTATAGTCAGCCGATATTTCACGATTCACTTTCAAGCGAACAGAATTTATGTTGCACTCGCACAAAACTGTATCGAATCATGCATATTTTTTCAAAACAGTACATTGAGCGCGTCGCCGAACAAAGTGATACAACGTTCTGTTACTGGAACAAAATGAAACACTTGCCGCGCTTCGAAACAAAGCGCAACGTGAATAAAATAGTAGCCAACGATTTCATGCTTCATATTGATCCAATAACAGATTGGTGTTTCACTTTGTTCGGCGATTTTTTTGCGTTTCGTATTCATCGGCGAAGAGTCAATACGTTGTTTTTATGCTCACGGGTTCAGTTATTCTGCGCCACCCTGTATATTAAACCATTACAACGAAGCGACGAGTAGCTCTAACTTGTTATGATTGTGCGGATGTTATGTAACATATCAGTTATTCTAATCGAAAAATGTATGAATTCAAGTAGTACAAACAGTGACTTTTTTTGCTCCGCCTGCGCCCTGGTGCGAAAATTTCTTAGCGCGCTTAACTGAAACAATAGGGCAGCCAGACATGATTTTTTGAAAGATACAATTTTCGAAGATCATGCGAAATTTTTCCCAGATTCCATGAAAAAATCTGTGCTCAATCATCAGACTAATGATTTCATTACCACTAGTGGTCATTTTCAAGACGATATGGGTGATTTCCAAAAAGTGATCCGAATAGCTCCCCTCTCCCCTATTCAACGCACTTCTTATAATTCTTTAAAAAAGAAATTACCACTTACTTGAGTATATTTGAACATCTTAAAAATCGAATATATCGATCGTGACAACAAAACGATTGAGTTTTATTTAGTGGAATTAGTTGGAGGCAAAACAACACAGTAAACAAAAGTTAACCTCACTTCCGGCAATACTAAATACATCATACAAAAAAAAAATGATAGTATTCATACTAAATTAAGTAAATTTTGTATTAGTCATATTTTACCTATTAAATTCAAGATGAAAAAAGAGACA